GAGAAAGACTCCAACAACAAATAATTGGTTGTCAATTGCCGTTGTTATTTTCTCAATCGTCTGAATGAGGGCGTGATTTGTAGAGTGTCCTTCTCTAAAGCCGTATTGTGTTTCATTCAGGATTTTATACTTATTTAAAAAAGAAACCGTTTGGTCATAGACAATTCGTTCATACATTTTTGACATACATGACAATATAGAAATAGGCCTGTAATTACACATGCCATCCCTTGCTCCACTTTTGAAAATTGATATAGTTTTTGCAAGTTTAAGCTTCTCCGGGAAAAATTCCAGTGGTGAGTGATAAGTTAATCATATAAGTTCGAGGTATAGCTAATATATCTGAATTCATTAAAAAAAAATTTGCATCAATATCGTCAAGACCAGGCGATTTGTTTGATTTTAAATTTGATAGATATTTTTTAATATCATACTCAGTTTGAAGGAGTTAAAAACATGGAATTTTGAACACTATTTTTATTTATATAATCCATAGGATTTGTATCTTGGTATATTTTATTTGCTTTTTCGGCCATTTCTTCGCCTATGTTAATATAGTAGGAATTAAATGCTTCGGCCTTATCAGAGGGTGCTTCAAATGACTGAGAATTTAATTTCATTCGTTCTGGGAGGCTTGATGTTTTGTTTCTTCCCAAAATAGCATTAATAGCGTTCCATGTTTTTTTTTTATGTTCTTTTTCGTTTTTCCAAAAAAAACATGGAACGCTACGTTGGAGCTTCATTTTGACTATGGTGGTAATTACGGTACCTTCCGCATGATGTTTTTATCAGAAACTTTTAATTACACTTGGTCCATGGCATGAACACCTTTCCGTAATTTATCAAAGTAGTTCAGTAAGCTAATGATTTTAAAGGCACTGCTGCAAACTCCCTTACCGGTCATAATGCATTCATTTCAACAATTTCCATGCATTTTCTTGACATGAAATTATATTGTGGTCAAAAAGTGTGGGTACCATCCATCATAAAATGACCAATGATGACCAATGACCATGCAAGCCACCATTGCAAGTTTTCGATCAGATACACACTAGTGTTTCAAATTGATGAATGCGACAACTAAGCCACCATATTATTATCCCTAATTATTATTATTAGTAATAAAAATAATAATACTGTAAGCGTAATACAGTAATATAAATTACATATTTAGCACTATAATAATATCTAGGTTATTACTCCCTTGTAGGCGTATAGGAGACCAAAGCATCTGATAATTAATGAAACAAAAATATTTTAAATAAAATATAAATATATAAATAAATTTATAAACATATAAATATATAAATGAATATACAAATAAATATATATACAGTATAAATAAATATACAAATAAATATACATACAAATAAATATATAAATAAATATATAAATAAATGTATTAATATTTATATATATAAATATATATATACAAATATTTATATAAATATATAAATAAATATACTTTAAAATATGAACATATTAATATATAGAAATATATAAATATATATATATATATGAACATATTAAAATGTGTAACAAATAAAATATATATACATATATATATATATATAAATACACAAATAAATATACAAACAATATATAAAGCCATTAGCAGCATACTTCTTCATTTATTGACAGAACAAATTTAAAATTCTATATCATTCCAAAAATCACAAAATTTAATGAAAAGTTAACAAAAAATCCCAAGATTCCAAGGTGTCATTAAAATTCCCAAGATCTTGGGATAAATCCCAAGCAGTGGTCACAGCACAGTGACAACTACCAATAGACAATTCTCTAAAACAACGGACCCCTTTCAGGGACAGAACATAAATAAATATATAAACATATAAATATATATAAATATATATATAATTATATAAATAGTATAAACATTTATTATATAAATAAATATATAAATAAATACAGTATATATAAAATAATATATATGAATAAATATATAAATACAGTATATATAAAATAATATATATATATATATATATATAAGTATATAAATAAATACAGTATGTATATATAAATATAAATATATCTGTATGTATGTGTCTGCATATCTGTATTTTAACAACATCTATCAGCGCTGCATATTTTCGGATCGACGATTCGAAAAAGTACTAAGTACTAAGTAGTAAAAGTATGTACTGCGCATGAGTGGACTACACAGGCAAAGCTCCCGGTGTGTTATTCATTTGCCACAGAATAAAGGCTAGGCCTACGTGTTTGCAAAACTGGATAACTTGAAAAAAAAAAAAATTTAAAATGTATGAATCGCATGGCTCGCTGGCTCGTTGGCTCACATGGCTCGCTGGCTCACATGACTCGCGCATTCGCATGACACGCTGACTGGCACTTTGGCACTACTCGATTGCTTTTCTTTTATACACTCTAGAGGTACGGTAGGGCTTAGCATACTAAAAGAAAAAAAGAAACATTGGGGTTTCCCCAATAAGGAAAATGAATACATTATAGGCCCTTAATTATAAACACTTTTTCGTGATCTGTCATCTAGCGGTGCCCTAGCAGTTTACTGTAATAGGCTACAACTAATAGGCATAGACCTATCCTAGGTAGGTTCAGCACGTTTTGAAGTTGTATAAATCACGATCAGATCGACATTCCGCTGACGCGTTTAACATCTACCATGCACGAGCATGCAGTCAGCCATATGAAATGTTGAGGAGTCAACTTCCAAACGGAATAAACGGCTCGAACGACAAGATTCCAAACGGCATTTCCCAGACGCGTTTAGAGAGCTTGTCATACTGACAGTATATAACAATAGCAAACGTTTTTGACACGTTTCTGGTTGGGAATAATTTGTAGATCGCACCTTAGGCCTTTGTTGTTATTGGTCATGACATTTTACTTTAAAATTGCACTATTATGGATTCAGAGGAGATACTTTACATTGGTTCTCTAGTTATAAGCTCTAAAAAGCAATATGTCACTGTGAACTTGCGTAAATCACATCTCACAAGCATAACATGTGGTGTACCAAAAGGGTCAGATTTAGGCCCATTGCTGTTTCTAATCTATGTTAACAATATTCATTTGATTAGTACTTTGATGAACTTAAAACTGTCTTTTGCTGATAATACAACTGTTTTTTCTATTGGTTATTAATCTTAATAAGCTGAACCAACATAAATCATGAAATTGTAAAGGTATTTTGTTGCCTCAGCATTTTCAAACTATTGTTAAATATTACCAAAACGAACTATGTAATCTTCTGTCCAAATTAGAAGAAGTGTCCTAAAATTGTCAATTGTCTTAAAATCAATGGTAAAGCAATAGTTCAACGTAAAGAAAATAAATTCTTGGGTAAAACAAACAGCTTTTTTTTCTACAAATATTTTACTCGCTCTTCACAATACCTTAATTTTGCCTTACCTAAAACATGACAGCAGCATATGGGGCAGTGACTGTCCGTCTAACCGTGTTAAACTATATAACCTAAAAAAAAGTATTATTCATATTATTACATCATCACCATATAGGTGAAGTGCTGAGCCACTTTTTCATCGACATAATCTTTTGAATATTTATATATAAACATACCTATGAACTTTTACCACAGGTTTTTATTAATCTATTTCACTTTACAGGTAATGCTCCTAACTATCGGACAAGACAATGTAAGTCTTCGTATTCCCTTTGTCAAGCTTACTAAAAGTCTATTTTGAATTTGTGCCCATGGCCCACATATATTGAACGATATCGATAGTAAACTAAAACAAAATCAAATACCCTTATGACTCAGTTAAAGGCACAGCTGAGGCAAACCTAAACTTATAAACTGTGCCCTCACCATTGTATTCACTGCTTTGTCATTGGTGAAATAAATTTCACTGACTGACTGACTAACTGACTGACTTACTGACTGACTGCTGACTGACTGACTGATTGATTGATTGAGGCCGACTATTGTCTTTTTACGTAAAGAAATTTTATGACTTTGAATGGCCCAAATGTTTATTTAGACCAAAATATTAGATATTGGCAAACAGAGTAACGTTATTTTGACGGGCACATTATTATTTGTGTTCAGGCGACCTTCTTGTGGCCTCGGCTGACGGATGGTCCAACCCTGTCCGACAAGTTGAAAATGCCCTGCTTTCCCCAACCCCCGCTGGCGCCACCACTGTCTATTTCGTGAATATATATATACCGATACAGGTACCAGTTAGTTCATGAATATTTGCTTTTAAAATGATAATGCCCCGATCTATTAGTCTATCTACAAACCTAACTATTTGTAAGTTAGGACATGATTGTAGTTCAATAACATCATTAGTAGTGGAGTGATGGTTTGCACTACCGGACTTGCTCTCATACCGAATACTCAGTGCGTTCTCAAATACTGGCGAAAAAAATATTTTGGAATGTACTAGGTATTTGGTATATTAACACGTTAGGTAGGTCAGAGCATCACTCCTATGATATTTTCCTGACGCTAACTTACATTGTAATAACATTATCAGTATTACTTTAAGTATTACATTTATCACTGAGTTCTAACCATTGGAAGTCTATACGATAACTAAGAAAACACTGTATGCTAAGAATCATTCTATATTGCAAAAACAAATTTTGTGCCTATACGCTTTAGTAATAAATCTAAAGAACACATAGAACGTTTCTGGCCAGTTACGAATGACAATTCTCAAATTATTTCTGAAATACTGTAATTTCAATATCTTTGTTTAAAAATATTGAAAACGAAAACAAGAATACATAACTATTGATATAAAGAGAAAACAAAACTACTTACTGTGCTGTAAGAACTTTAACACTGATGCTTAATTACACAATACCAGTTATTATATATGTTTCCAAATTGTCAATCAATATAACCTTGATAACCAATGAAAACGAGTATACGTTATGCTCCTCCCAGTAAGTTGTGGTTGCACTAATTCGTCTTCAATATAAATATTATTTTGAGTGACAAACAGAACTATTTATTAGTTGGTACTCTGTGTGTCAGACTTGCAGCTCTTACAGCACAGTAAGTAAATTTGTTTTCTGGTGATATTTTTATGCAATATTGTGTTAAGTAATGTGTTTTGTGTATACCTTTAATATACAGTAATTATATCAGTGATGATATTCTATTCGTCATCGACACTACACAGAGACACAAACCTTAAATATCGCATTATTTTTTTTTTCATTTTTCCCCTTTGACACATTTGAATACGTACATCAATCTCTTATCTGTTCACCTTTAAGAATGGAACGACATTACTTAGTTAATTGGGCTAATTAGTCATAGCGCACAAATCGAGAAAAACGAATTTTGCGTTTTCTCAAACACACAAACTTTAAGTAGGTTCACAGAAGAAAAAATAATAATAATGATTAGCTGGGTTAAAAATTAACGTGCTTAACATACCTTTGCATAGCGATGCTTTTTTTTTTATCCGCTTCCCTATCGGATCACCTTTTGTTATTGTCAGGATCGTCTTTTTAGTGATCCGTTTCCCTCGGATCACCTCTTGTTATTGTCAGAGATCATCTTTTCGGTAATCCGCTAGGGTTTCCGAATCCGAACAATTGGGTCGGCCTGGAATAGTCACGGTAAGGTTTTCGTCGCATTTTGACCCTCGAGAAGTGTGCGCGGTGCGGATTGAACAATTTTTAAATGCTGTAAATGTCCTAATGTATATGCTTCAGTTTTTTTTTTAAAGAATTCGGAGCATTTTAAAATATTTACTCATGCCTACGCGCACGTCATGACGCACGTGCGCAAGGTAATGTCACAAAATGTTGACTCCTGATATGAGATAAAAGCATCAACACTCATTGACAAACGCCTGTTGGTGACAGATTTTACTATCATTCATAGTATTTATGATACATAAGAATTCAGTTTTTTTGAATTCAAATGGCAATATGATGACGTCACATTTCATATCTACAACTCATGTTCTTTCAGAATATGTAATAGAAATTAGGGGTCACCTTTCATTCTTAGGAGCTATAACTGATTAAAAATAGGCACAATTTTAAGCATATATAATTGTTGACGCACGCGTACGCGCACGTTAGGACTCGCGAACGAAAAATTAAGGTACCTGACTTTAAACATTGGCCTGAAGTTTATGCTCACTAAATATGATCCAAAAACGTGGACTGGTTAAGATGATTATGGGGTCATCAAAGTTTTGAGGAAAGAAAGATGAAGGGGGAGGGGTGGTAAAAAACCCTTTATTTTGGCCGTCATGACGTCATCAAATGTCAAATGTAAATAAAAGTCACATATATGAAAGAGAATTGTCGCATCTATGATATTATGTAAAGTTGGGAGACGATCGATCAAGGATAAGCGAGATACGCTTAATTGCGTATTTTTTTTAAATGACGTCATAGATAAAATTAAGTTTTTTTAATTCAAATGCCAATATGATGACGTCACAATGTCCGATCAGCCATTATGATCTATAAAATCATATTTACAACTCATGTGCTTTCAGAATATGATGCCAGGAACCAAAAAAATTCCTAATTTCTAGCTTCCCTATGTGCTGCGCGCATAAAAATGTGAGCGCGTAGTGAACATTTTCAACAAAAATTGAAATGCTCAAAATGGCATGAAACGTGCTCTAGTTTAGTCAAAACGTGATTTTGAGTATTTTAAAATTTTGATGTACATTCAACCTTGACCTGAAGTTTATGCCATTTGAATATGATTGAGTAATGACAGTTGGTTAGGATGATAAGATAAATATTGTAAAAACGCAAAATTGTGCGTAGATGACGTCACGCATGACTGAGCACGTTGACAACCTTATTGTGACTATTCCAGGCCAAGCCAAATGTTCGTTTAAGCGAGCATGTTCGTATCTCGTGGCGATTTTGAGATATCGTGCGGACAAGAAATGGGGAGAAATGTAGAATTTAAGAAAAAAAAAAAGATCTCTGACAATAACAAGAGGTGATCCGCTCGTGAAACGGTCACCAAAAACGATTAAGAAGATCCTGACAATAACAAGAGGCGCTCCGCTGGTGAAGCGGATCACCAAAAAGAAGATAAAGATGATGATGATCCTGACAATAACAAGAGGTGATCCGCACTAGATGCGGATCACCAACTAGATTTAAACTCGTCACTGAGGACGAGTTAGGGTATCCGTCGCACTTTGACCCTCGAGCGGTGCTGATTAAATATTTTTTAATTGCTGAAAATGGCCTTAAGTATACGCTAATTCAATTTTTTTTAAAGAATTTGTAGCATTTTAAAAGGTTTACTCATGCGTACGTGCACGTCATGACGCACTTGCACATGGTAACGTCAGAAAATGTTGACTCTTGATATGAGATATATGTATCAACTTTCATTGACAAGCGCCCGTTGGTGAGGGACTTATCATTCATAATACTTACCATACATAAAACTTCAGTTTTTTTTTAAATTTAGACGGCAGTAAGATGACGTCATAATGTCCGATCAGCCATAATGATCTATCCAATCATATCTACAACTCCTGTGCTTTCAGAATATGTAATAAAACTTGTGGGTCACCTATGTGACCTAAGGAGCTATAACTGATTAAAATTATTCATGTTTTTAAGCATATATACATTTTGACGAACGCGTACGCGCACGTTTTGACGCGCACACAAAAAAATTAAGGTACATAACATTAAATATTGACTTGAAGTTTATGCCCACTAAATATAATTCAGAAATGACGGCTGGTTAAGATGATTAAGGGGTCATCAAATATTTAAGGAAAGAAAGGTGAGAGGGTCAGCAAAACATTTATTTTGACCATGATGACGTCATTAAAATGTAAAACATTATAAACATATATGAAAGAGAATTGTCTCATAAAACATACTCAAAGTTGGGAGACGATAGATCAAGAATAAGCGAGATACGCTCAAATGCGTATTTTCAAAAATGACGTAAGGAGAAATTTAGAGTTAAAAAAAAAAGATCTTTGATAATAACAATAGGTGATCCGCTCGTAAAACGGATCACCAAAAAGGGGCCTTTTTAAGAATTTTAGATATTATTACAGTGAAGATTAGATGGGCAGAGACCTAATTCAACAAGGGATCCATTGAGCAATGGTATTTTATATGAGTAAGGCCTAATTCAATATGCAGGTATTAGAATCACAACATTAGCCTTCATTCTGTCTGTTGCCGGTACTAACATCAGGTTTGTTTTATAATTGTCGTGAACTGCATAAATATATTTTTAAGTAAACATAAAAGAAGGTGATTTACTTATGTTATGAAACTTGTTTATTTGTTTTGTATATGTTGTTTCTTATGTTAGGCATGAATAAAAGGAACAATTAAAAAATATATGGCGTATGTCTTATTGCATGACCAACATTTGTTGTACTGTACCTATTGTAAGTGTATCGAATAAATAATTATATGAAATGAATAAATGCATGAAATGACGGATGATCACATATGATGGATGTATCATTCACGTTAAGCGATGCACTGAATCACCGCTGATCACTGAGGCTGGCAAAGACTTGAAAACAGGGCATGCGCAAAAATACCGTTTATAAAGATGATTATGAAGAATTTATGAGATTTTACCAAACTATCTTACGTTACGCAAATTCGAAGGCTATCCAACTGATATAGTTCATATGAAGGTGAAGTTCGTGTCGAATTATCGACCTGTGAAATTTTCCGACAGAGGGCGGCAGACTGTATTCCGAAGCAATTAGACTGATATAGTTCATATGAAGGGAAAATTTGTGTGACATTACCGACCAACAGGCGTTTTTAAATGACTGACGACATTCAATTTCGTGTGCCATTACCGTCCGCGCACGTGTCGTTTCATGCGCGTGCGTGTGCGTTAAAATCTGAGAATTCAGAATATCACATTTCAAATAATTTAAAGCACGTTTCAGGTCATTTTCAGCATTCCAAAACTTTCTATAATTTACCCCCGGCCCGTTGTCACCCAGCCTTTTGCCACCCTAGGCCCGTTGCAACCCAGCCTTTCGCCACCCTAGGCCCGTTGCCACCCATGCCCGTTGCCACCCGGCCTTTTGCCACCTTTGGGAATGTCGAATAGTTATTTTATTTTGGTGGGGTTTTTTTTACACAGATATGTACTAGTAAGCCTACGTACTGTAGCAGAATTTTTTCCTTGATTAAATTTAATTGCCAGTTTAATATTCAATTATTAGTTTACTGTATTATATTTCAATCGTCCATGCGCCTTCTTACCACCAGTAGAAAATTGCAGAAATAAACATTGTTATAATAATCCGCATAAAGAGAGAAATACTGTAGTGTCTAGTTTATTTTTATATTTTACTTTTAAGTATATTCTTATTCTAAAATAGAAAGAAATAGCCTGTGCTTTTACAATTAAAAAACAGCACATTTATGATAATTATAGTTATTTATATAGTATAACCAGAAGCCTATATTATGTGTGTATAATGAACTTTATGAAATTTATTTGGTATTTCTCTCTTTATGCGGACAATTTTTTATTGAAATAACCGTCAATGGTAAACTTTGGATACAGCTCTTCTTGTAAGCGGTAAACTACAAAGGATATTATTATTATTATTATTATTATTATTATTATTATTATTATTACTAAACGATCAAGCAAAGATGAATTTGAGAATTGTTATTATTATTATTATTATTATTATTATTATTATTATTATTTTATTATATTATTATTTTATTATATTATTATTTTATTATATTATTATTTTTATTATATTATTATTATTATTATAATTATTATTATTTTATTATATTATTATTATTATATTATTATTATATTATTATTATATTATTATTATTATTATGATTATTATTATTATTATTAGGAAATACTTATTAATGTATTTGTTTACGATATGTTATAAGTAGGCCTATATAATTAATCATTGTAATAATTGAAATTGTGCGATGGTACGATTTTACACTGTATATCGAATGCCATCAATAAGGACAAATTGTCTGAAGGCCTCACAGTTCTTGGATAAGTTTAATAATTTC